CAGAACTAGTGTTCCCATTGTCTTGTGATTTTCTTTCACTTTCACAGATAACAGTAAACAATACAAATAGAGAGGGTGAATTTCCCTAACAGGGACACAGACAGCAATAAAAAGAGGTGTCTTTAGCTTTGTCTTTAGCTGTACTACAATGTGATTGTAAACCCTTTTTTTTTTAAGTAGCAAACATGTTATACTACAATGGTTTTGCACAGAGCAGCCCCAATGCTCCTCTTCTCGGGTCCCCCAACGGAGCTCCTGGCTCCCCTGCCAAATGCTCCGAGAGGAAGCCGCATGCATTAGGTCCATTGACACACAGAGTGTGGCTTGTCCCTCCTCCCTGTTATTGACAGCAGCAGCAGCCAATGACACCTGCTGCTCTCTCTGAGCCAATGAAGAGGGAGAGAGTGAAGAGAGCCGCTGCTGTTGTGCACCTCGCTGGATCAAGGTAAGGCTCAGGTAAGTATAAGGAGGGTTTGTGGGGGGGAGCTGCACTTAGAAGGTTTTTTATACCATTATGCATAGAATGCTTTAACCACTTGGTAGCCACACTATAGCCAAATTATGGCTACAGCACAGTTACCCAGTTCTGGGAGGGCATCATATGCAGCTGTCACAGAGCAGATTGGCCCTAATGATCAGTGACCTGATGATCAGTGCCCTGCAGTGCTGCCCAGCAGTGCCTCCCAACAGTGCCCCAGCAGTGCCACCCACCAGTACCAATCAGTGCCCAGCAGTGCCTCCCACCAGTACCAATCAGTGCCCAGCAGTGCCTCCCACCAATACCAATCAGTGCCCAGCAATGCCTCCCACCAGTGACACCCATCAATGCTGCCCAGCAGTTGCACCCATCAGTACCGCCCATCAGTGGCATCAGTCAGTGCTGCCTATCAGTGACCATCATTGCTGCATATCAGTGCAGCATCATCAGCACCTTGTCATCAATGCCCACCAGTGCCACCTCATCAGTGCAGCCTATGAGCGCCCCTCGGTGCTGCCTATCCATGCCACCTGATCAGTGCCCATCAGTGCTGCCTAGTGCAGCCTCATCAACGCACATCAGTGATAGAGAAAGTTTGCCTGTCTGAAAAATTTTATAATAGAAACAAAGAAAAACTTTTTTTTTTTTGTCCTTTTTTGTTTATAGTGCAGAAAATAAAAAACCCAGTGGCAATTAAATACCACCAAAAGAAAGCTCTATTTGTGTGAACATGATAAAAATTTAATATGGGTACTGTGTTGCATGACCGCATAATTGTCAAAGTGTGAGAGCGCTGAAAGCTGAAAATTGGCCTGGGCATGAAGGGGATGAAAGTGCCCTGTAGACAAGTGGTTCAGGTGAAAAACCTTCAGTTTTTGGAACCACTTTAATAGGTGAAGCAGCCAGCTTGGGTTCATTTGAGCTAACTAACCTACCTGTATGTCTTTGGAGTGTGGGAGAAAACTGGAGTATCTGGAGGAAACCCACACAAGCACAGGGAGAACATGCAAACTCCAGGCAGATAATGTCCTGGTTGGGATTGGAACCAGTGCTGCAAGGCAGAAGTGCTAACCACTAAAGCACTGTCCGGCCCAGTTCTGAATGTTAGTCCCTGCACTGTGCACAAGGATTTTCTGGTGCGTCTATAGTATACGGTGAACTTTTCCCCCTCTTAGCTGAGCACAGACACACCTGACCTGACTGAGCTGTGTACCTGCACACTCCAGAACACTGATCACAGCCCAGCACACTGCATGGAGGGAGGATCCATGTCACCTGAAACTCTGTCCTGCCCTCTTACTCCTCTCACCCTGACAAGAAGAATTTCTAACCAGGAAGTTCACCTCCCTCCTCCCCTTCTGCTTTCAGAGGCAGCTTCTGCTTTTTGTATTTTGTGTGTTCAGTCATCGTCTTGGAAGTGCTGTCCTTCCTTCCTTCCAGGGAGCTGGCTGGAAGAATGACTTCCCAGGAAAGTGGCCCTTTCTCAGCGTAGTAAAGCCAAGACACACCTGGAGAGCAGATCCTACGAAACTTTACACCTTGCTGGGCTCTGCATAGATCACCTGGGAAGTACAGTAAGTCCTACAGTAAGTGCCATTTGTTTGTTTTCATGAGCTGGGTCATTGTTATTATACAAAGTCAGTCAGGCGGATGCAGAGACCCATCACCTGTTCTGAGCCGCTTGTTGTTGTGTGTGCGTCCACCTTGGAGCTGTGTGCAGGCAGCCTATAGAAGTGGACGCAGACACAGCGGATGCATGGACACAGTTGCGTGTCCAAATTTGACATTTGGATAGAAGTAGGTGCAAAGACTCGAATGCAGACACTGTGCGTTCAGATCCATGCACTCACTTCTGCTTGCACCCTCCTGCAAACAGGAGGAGGCAATGTATTCACTATGGATCGCTTTTCAGAGGGGCTTCATGAGCTGCCAAACATATGAATGAGGCCCAAAGCCTTGTCCACATGGGCAAACTTAATTGTACGCCTGTGTGAGGGCTGTGTTTGCCCACCCAGGGGTGCAAAGGTGTACCCTACACTCCTGTACAGGCAGTCCCATTCATGTCAATTGGGATACAGTAGCTGCAAGGACCCAATTTGACAGCCGTGTGGGTGTATGTCCCCGAATGCAGAGTGTGCGTTCATGCACCCGTGTGGCTGTGAAATTGGGAGCAGTGGCAGTGTCCATGCAGCTGCTGTGTCCCAATTGACATGAATGGGATTGCCTACATGGGAATGCACGAAACACCTGTGTTGTGTTCAATCAGACGCAACACCTGGGGCTGCTAGAATATCAGAAGAGTTGCTGCATCTGATAGAATGAGTCACAGTTTGGCTGAAAATTTTCCACAGCCTTTGGTTTTTCAGTTGTAATTCATCGAGTCAGATGGTGCCCATGCGGTCACCCAAAGCTGGAATTCGAGCATTGTATGGGTAAAATAAAGGCAATTATACAGTCATATAGTAACGTGTGGTGATCTGTATTGTGAGATAAGTCTCTACAATGGTTCAGTTGTTCTTTATTATCCCTTTAGGGAGAACCTACCTATCCTTTAGAAAATTTTTCACCATCATTGCTCAAATAGTCCTATGTACGGACACCTAAAGCCTGGAGTGCGAAGTGCCTCTTCTGGTGGTACTAGCTGTCATAGTGGAAATTTCTAAGTTCTCTGCCCCCCCCTCCCATACCCCAAAGCTGTAATCTTCTGGTGCTGTATGGGTTAGTATCAGCCCTGGACCTGTGACAGGCACTCACCAAGAGTGACAACTATGTCCACAAAAGTAATCTATAACTGGAGGACATGGACCTTTCATTCATCCGCCTGTCCTCCATACACAGAGCGCTTTTCAGTCATGGAAGCTATAGTAAAGCTTCTATGAATGGAGGAGTGGTGGCAGAAAGGACAAAGTTGGCACTCTTGATAAGTCCCTGTGACAGGTCAAGCACTGGTATTAATATGGTATTAATATCCACAGCACCAGAAGATTGCAGCTACGGGGGGACAGAGGACTTCAGATTTTTTTCCATTGTAACAGACGGCACCAGTACAAGGGACATTCACAGACCATCAATTTTTTGTTTTTTTCACCATCATTGCTCAAATAGTCCTATGTATGGCCACCTAAATCCTGGTCTGCGAAGTGTCTCTTATGGTGGTACTAGCTGTCATAGTAGAATCTCGAAGTTCTCTGCCCCCCTCCCACACCCCAAAGCTGTAATCTTCTGGTGCTGTATGGGTTAATATCAGCCCTGGACCTGTGACAGGCACTCACCAAGAGTGACAACTATATCCGCAAAAGTGATCTATAACTGGAGGACATGGACCTTTCATTCATCCGCCTGTCCTCCATGCACAGAGCGCTTTTCAGTCATGGAAGCTATAGTAAAGCTTCTATGAAAGGATGGACAAAATTGGCACTCTTGATAAGTCCCTGTCACAGGTCCAGCGCTGGTATTAATATCCACAGCACCAGAAATTGCAGCTGCAGATAAGGGGGGACAGAGGACTTCAGATTTTTTCCATTATGACAGACGGCACCAGTACAAGGGACATTCACATTAAATAGAAGTATCACATTAAATGGAAGTAATGTCCATTGTGCTGATTTATTGATTTGTTTTTTCATCTTACCTAAACTTAGGCTTTGATGTGTTGGCTGCTCCCTCCCTTGTTTATTCACTGAATGTCACTGCAAAGCATCTTGTGTCTTGAGCTATCCATAACTGACAGCTACAGCGATGAAGTGGTTACATGCAGCTGTCAGTTCTGTTAAGCCTCCAACATGTACTTGACTGTTTAGATGTTTTGTAGACCTTTTTAATAGTAGTTTTTTTATAGAATGAGATTTATGTTTTATGAGATTACATTGTAACGCAGTAATAAAACACAAACAGTGCTCTAATAGTGAAGAGAAGCAGCTATTTTAACAATATAATGCCTCATGCATACGATCACACTAGGGGCGTAGCGCATACAATTCTGGCTTTTGTCTGTGCCCAGAAAGCCCAGGTGCTATGTGCAGCTGCCCACAGATTTTAGTGTTACAAAACCCACAACAGTAAAATCAGTCTGTATATGGAGTAAAGCATGTTTCTTATACTCACTGTGGAACCTGGGGTTAACCTCTGCATGGTGTAAAAAAGATGTTTGATCCTGTCTTCTTTGATCCCCATTTTCCACTGTCCCCAATCCATCTGCTGATACTATAGAGCCATAGGAGGCACTCTGCATATGCTCAGTTTGATGTATATTGCTAGAAAGTTTTTTTTTTTTTTTTTTTTTTTTTTGGGGGGGGGGGGATGTTGCATGTGATCAGTACAGAGCCAATCAGCACTGTCCAGACAGAGGGTCAGGGGTCATGAAGCCTCATAGGACAGTCAGAGAAGGAAAACTCCTACAAGCTTTAATAAGTGCTCGTCCAGACACTGCCAGAAGTTACAAGACTGCTATATACTGCTGATGAGAAAAGATATTTAGCAGTTTATATTTACTAAAATAATTGCATTTTCATGTTCTGAGTACTGTGGAAGATCATATAGAGTGAATGCAGGGTCCTGGGTTTAGTAACACTTTAATGGTTGTATGCGGGTATATGCAGGTACTCGCAAATAGCACAAGGACATATTTCCTGAATGCAGACTTTTTGCGATTAGGGAATACATCCATATGCTATATGCAAGTTTAAGTGGGTACTGTGTGCCCCTGTAAATGAGGCATTAACAGGATTTTATTAATAAAAAGGTTTGATAAGTAATTATAGGAGGTCCTCTTATAAACATAAAACAAATAGATTATGGTAAAAAACTAAGAACAAGAAAAAAGCATATAAAAATACAGAAATCAGTGAAAAGTACTTGCTAATAAAAGGTCCTCAGACAGTGTGAATGTGTTAGAAGAGCACTGGACCATAAACCTGAAGAGCAGTAAGGGTTGAGATCCAACTCAAGACAGCTCTGTGTCACTTGGGTGTCCTCAAGTGTCCCCAGAGTAGACAGAGAAATGTAGAAAAGGTGAAAGCACCAGAGTACTAATATGCATCCAGTCTATTTTTATTGTGCATGACAAAAAGGAGATGGTGTCTTATGTGATATAGAAGAAAAGTCTAACGAACTCATACAAGTATGGTGGCACTCTCATCTTTACTACTTTACTCAGACAGTGTGAAGACCATGTTAAAAATATCCAGTTCTAGCTCTTAATAATACTGTGGCTTCCTGTCCCTACAGTGGACCTGTGCTTTGCCCACACAGGTAAAAGAAACAGGTTCACATTAAAGCCTAAGTTTACCTACCAACAAAAAAAAAAATACAAAATAAGTGTAATGTGTTCCTTTTGTTTCAGTCTCCTAGTTCAGGAGAAATCTTCCATCCAGTTCAACCAGCTGGTTGAACAAAAAAAAAAAATGACCCATGTATGGCAAGCTTAAATATAGAGCTTTGTAAGCAACAATTTGGCGGAGTCATGGCATACAAAGGGCCCAAGGACTCACCATGTGACTACTTCTTTAACCAAGTTACAGAGGCAGCTGTTTGTTTGCTTAATGCAAAATGCTGATGTAGAGCCTAGAGGTGCAGCTGAGAATATGCCCAGATCTCTCATGATAGTACAGAGGCTGCCATCCACAAGCACAGTTCCAATGCAAATTGACAATTTGGCTTAGTCTAGTGGATGGCTTTTAGAAGGCATTTGCGCCCCCTGTGTGTTCTTTTACAATATATGGTTGTCTAAAGAGGGCTGCAACACTAAAGCATTGTCCGTAGGAAATACAGACCATGCATTATATCCCAGTCTGGTGACTGTCCTTTTGAGTGCTGGAGAAATTTTGTTCTTTTGCAGGTGTCTTTTTAGTCTTTATTGCTGAATAATAATACTCCAAAACAGAATCTGCACTCGGTGTGACAACAGCTTTCTAGTGAAAAATCCTTTCAGGAATGGGCATGCACATTACAGTCCCAGATCAGGTCTTACTCACAGGTTTCCTAGGATCCATCTGCCACCCAGCATCCACAGAACGACCATTAGTGCAGCAGATAAAAGATCCTTCTCCACAACAGGACTTCAGGACAGTGCCCTCCAGCATAAAATCCATTAGCAATCTCCTCCATGCCCTCCGCCCAGACTACATTCTTCTGTCTCGATAGCAGCAGCCCTAGGAACTGAAATCCTACCTGGAGAGGAAGGAACACTCTGGCAAGGTCTCTCAAACATTTATCACCTCCTCAGCCACCTTTTGGACACCCCTTCTGGGATTGGATGAAGAGTGGTAAATATTCATGCTGGCTATTTGAAGCTCCCTGCACTATATACTGATCTCTTCTTCCAGAAGCACGTGAGAAAAATCAAACACCCCAGGAAACCCTGAACAGACTAAACAATTAATTGCTACACCATTGGTTACAGTAAAGCCAAAAACTAAATTAAACCTACCAGCCTAACTAAAGGAGGGTGCTACATTGACAAACCAATTTCCCTGATATTGAAGATTTTTGTTCTTGTGACATTTAAAGGGATATTGAGGAGTTCAATGTGTGAATGATTTAAAGCAAACCTGAAATGCAATTAAAGTACTTAACACTGTCAACATATAGCATGTGTCTTCGTTTGCCCACATCTCAGGTCCATCTTACAACTCAACACCCTGGGTGCCCTGCTATGTACATGTTGACCCAGCCCTCAGGCTGTGGCACCCTACTAAGCCTTACTGTTGACCAGTGAGGTCTCCTATAACAGTGGACCTCAGGTAAGGCTGGCTTTTTGTCACTAGATCTTGTAGACAAACAGCATTTGGTGCCTTAATTACCACCTGTCTGCTACCATCCTCTCTTTTACAGAGGACATTTCCTTGTTTTACTTGTCCTAATTTTCTTAGAATAGGGTGGTAATGTTTATTGAAGCTTTATGAGATTATTGCCACTGGTGATGGAAAAAAACCTCATCTTTGTCTCTGCCACATGTAGACACATATCACCTGTGCCTCATGGTTAACCCAGCCCTGCTGTTAGGTCAGTAATGGAATCTGGGATGTGGAAAGGAGCAGAGCCAGACTCTGAACTGAGAAGCTGGGTTGATATATACTTACCAAAGAACCTCACAAATCAGGGGAACTTGGGGTGTTGTAAAACTGTACCAATGTGCAGCTCCATGGAGGTGCCTGCTATGTATGGACAGCCACAAGTTAGATACTTAAATTGCATTTTGGATTTGCTTTAAGCCTGTCATTTGGGATTATATGGTATGCATATATTGCCGCACACTGTACCCAACTCCGGTGTGAAGTAAACGAAAGACAGGTTTCAGCTCAAATCCCCGCCCATTGGTCATGCCCCTCTGATATGTTTCATCCACAATGGTGTAATCGTAGAGGATAATGTGTCAGAGGGACGTGACCAATGGGCGAAAATTTGAGTTGAAGCCTATATATTATTAAGTGTTCTTGCATGGCAACACCACTTACTGTTATCTCACATATATATTCTTATTATTATAGCCAAATTTTCCACCCTAATTCCTCCCACAGTTTTTACACTACATAGACAGTAATATACCGAAACGTGCGGATTGTTCCCGATTGGTGTGCTATTACTTTGTGGAACGTTTCGTCGAATGGTTCACAAAATATCAGCGTTTTTGTGGTGAAATTGGTCCCATAGGAATGAATGGCGGAATGTTCAAAACTAGAGTGGGAGCTGACAAAAGCTAGAGTGCGAGCTGAAAAATCAGGACATGATTTCTAAACTGCCATCACTCCCTCATTTTCAAGCCCACCTACACAAATTATATCAAAACGTTCAGCTATCCCTGCTGCCACTAAAAATGTCCACGGCTAAGCCATAGTCCAGATAGCTTTCACAATATGCCTCCCATTGACATTCATTGAAACTGCACTCTAGCCACCTCAAATTTGAAGGGCAATTTCTAAACTGTGACTGTGCCTTCATTAATATTTCAGACACATACTATGCATCAAAATGTAGGTCTGGATCTTATGATTCTCACAATATAAAGCTCTTCGCTGTAGGATTTATAGTTTTTAAAACTATGACCATTTGAAGACGCCAATACTCTGTCCAGTCCAACCTTTTCACAGTTACTCCAGCCACTCCAACCACACAACAGTTACTCAAGCCACTCCACCCAGTTACTCCGCCAACTCCAGTTGTAGACTACTGGTGGAGGCAAGAACACTTCCCACAATTTCCCCAGAAATTGTAGCTTTTCTAGTTATTATTATTATTATTATATACAGGATTTATATAGCGCCAACAGTTTGCTCAGCACTTTACAATATAATGGGAGACAATACAGCAATGATACAGTTCAATACAAGAGGGATAGGAGGGCCTTGCTCCTTGGAGCTTACAATCTAGGATATATATATGAATACAGTGTGTGGCGATACTTGTGTGCTTTATTGGGGACAATTCATCGTGTGAGATTTTACCGCATCCGAGTATACGGTAAGATAACTCGCATCATTTTTAAAAAAAACCCTCTGTAATTCACTAAGAAACACTCCTTAATATCTCACATGCATTATATTTCCGAATTATGTGGTAATTACTGCATGAAGCAGTATATGCGGTGCGGTAAATTATCGCAAACATATTGCATAACTGTCACATCCTGTCACATACCACTTAGATATTAAGAAGTGGTAACTTTTCCTGTTGCGGTAGATATGCACCTTTAAAAGATGGTGCAAAAAAGCAGTGTGTGTACAGTCAATTGCACCAAGCACATCTGGGATTCCGTCAATCTGATAAAAAACATTTATATTTGATCCCACTCTTGACGAGATTCCAGAAAGTTAAAATATTTGGGTGCTATTACACAGAAACCGTGCAATATATAGGTGATGAAATGGGGAAATGATGCCTGCGAAATTCCTACTATCTCGCTACCATCTGATAGGACGCTTTCCCCAAAAAATGTAATCCAGCCAACTATTTAGTCATGGCTGGTATGGCTTGGTTGAGGGCTCAAGGTAACCTATGAGTTGGGCACAAAGCTCCATAATTAGTGCCTGGGATAACCGGAAGTTATGGAGGGTATCCGCATCCATGTAATTATCCAGCAATGTGCACTCCTTAAAGCATCTTTCATTTAAAATTACCTCTCTTTATCTTCCCCTCTTCCTCTTCTGCATTTCTTTAATTCCACTTTCCCGCCTTTGTTTTTGAACCCATCCCTGACCCCCTGAACTGGGTCTGACAATTCCCATACTTATCTCAAGCCTGGACCACTACTTAGTTACTGCATGTATTTATTTTATTTCCTTTTATGAATTGACTTTAGTGCCTTTTAATGCTGTATTTATCGAGCCTTTTTTTCTGTTTGCGGCAAATACCACTAGTGAATTTAAACTTTCAGTATAGCATGCGATACATGGTCACGTGACCAACAGAAGGCATGTGATAACTTTTAATGAATTGTCCCCATTGTATCTTAGATTGAGACGTGCTTTGTCTTTGGCATTACCTGAATACATAGTGTAAATAGGAGAGGCCTCAGTAGTAGAGAATTAACACAGTCAGTTTATTGTAAAAGGAGATTGGATACCGCTGTATACCACTCCATAATGCAAGCTGCATTTTATATCCCATTCTTAAAATACCAGATGCAGTGTAGAGCCTCTAAT